ATTATACTTTTACTTTTAAAAATTAAAAACATCTGTATCTATAACTTATATAAATTTCATACGGTATGCATAGTTAGTGGACTACAATTTCTATTATTTACTGTACTGAAACACGTGTCTATAATATTTATTGAGTGAAAGGAAGATATATGACGCTGAACGGTCCACTGATGACAACACGAATTCAAATTTTCGTTTTACTTGATGCTGCTTCTGGACTATCAGATTTAATAGAATTGATTGAATTTGTACTACTTTAGTTTATACTTTATTGTTTTCTTTAGCCTTCAATAAGAATTGGAATAAAGTTAGAAAAAAATTAAATTATATTTTATAGTTTGCTTCCTCATAGAGAAAGCTATGTGACGGTGGAAAATTTTTCTTTAGAAATTTTCATGTCGCCATGTTCAGAATTTGCTAAAACGTCGAGAAAACACATTTGGAGAAAATGTCCGGATGTGTGTGTTGTGTGTGTAATAGTCTTCCAAAATTCAAACGTGTATAACTCGAGAACGGCTTTAGCTACAGCCTCCAAATTTTGCAGGCATGTGAGCTCTATAATCCATTCATTGACTATAATTTTCATAATTCAAGTTGCGACTCAGATTTTATGTCGTTTTCAAATTTCCAAAAAAGGACGTTATCAGTCTAACGAACGCAAATTTTTTGATACTCGTCTAAATAGTTCTTGACAAAGACTATTTTATTATTATTTCTTATTAATTAAGAAGCAAATTGCAAGTTTCAACTTGCGCCTTGTTTATTTTATGTGCAATGAACAATTGTTAAAAGTGATTCAAGGGAAATCTACTTTGTTTATAATTTTGTCAATAAGTTTAATAAGCTATTACTTTGGATGGATCTAGAATATCTAATAAATCAATATCGAGTAATCGGCTCCTATAAATTTGACTTATTTTTTCAATTAAAGTAGTACGAGTGATACAGTCCCATCATGTGAGAGTGAAAATAAAAAAAATGTGTTAAACAAATGTGAAGCATTAAATTGGCATTTAGAAAGAATATTTGATGAAAGCAAAGTGCCTCTAACATTAAAAGAAATAATAATTTCAAAATTATTAACAATGAAACAACAAAAGCGTAGTTGCTAAGAGGTCACATCTTGAATCATTTTTCTGAAAAAAAAATCTACATCACTTATCCGATTTCAATATCCTATATCTCATTTTATTCTTTAAAAGATTCTTTAGAGAATCACCGAAATAGATTTTGTCTAAAAATCGATGGTTTAAGAATATAGCTATTTGTTTATACTTCGATGTAATAAATCATTTCTTTGGCAAGAATTCCTGAGGAACAATAGTGCTAATTGAGAAATCCCGTTCGGTGGATTTCTAGAGAATCGTTGAAAGAATAAAATAAGCTATAGTACATTGATATCGGACAAGTGATATAGATTTTTCTTCAGAAGAATGGTACAAGGAATTATCTCTAAGCAACTAAGCTTCACTGTTAATAATTTTACAACTATTATTTCTTTTTATGTTAGAGGCACTTTCCTTCTTCTTACATCTAGCCTTTTGAGTGTCAATTTTATGCTTTACATTTGTTAAAAACTTTTTTCATTTTCACTCTCACGTGATGGGACTGTACCGCTCCTACTAAACATCTTAAAGCAATTCTGCAAAACATATTTTGTTTATTTCAGCTTACTTCAAATGCAACTAATGACAGGCTAGTTATTGGTTTCATTAGGTTAAGAAAAAAATTCTTCATTGATATTCATATGTAGTGACATAAAGCTGTGGCGCATTGTAGAAAGATTTCTTTTACCTCAAAAGACACAAACGAAGCATGACACGATATAGGTTTTAATGTTCTCTAAATAGGCACTTGTGTGTTCTGTACCTTGAATTTTTTTTATTCTTGTACCAACGACCTTCCTTTCATGGACTACAAACGCTAATCGGTACTGCGTGTTACCATGTCAAGTCAATGGCATTATATGAGGGCAAGAGCAGCAATAGGAAAGGAGGAAGTGGAAAGCAGAAAGCAAGAAATGCCATCGAAAACCAGAAAAGACGTTCTAATGTATTGATGACGAACAGAATAGCACGTTCATTCTTTTGGGATAAACTACGAAATTTTTCAAAACTATGAATATCGCATATAATAAAACAGATCTATTGAATTATGTAGAATAATAATAATAGCAACAATAATAATATTAACTATAAATATGTACTTGTAATTTTGTATAAAAAACGATAACAGAGCTCTAAAAAATACAGTAAATTTTTGATTTCTGATATGTTGAGATGTTTTCAAATAAGTGAAAAAATTACTATTGGAATTGGTAGATCAATGTGTTATTACTAACAATATAAGGAAGTAAATTCTTGAAGTGGTACGTACATAAATGATCTATGTATACAGTGCTAAATCGTTTTGGACGTTAAGGAAATTATACGATAAAATGATACGAGCTATATTCATATGATTTAATTTATGAATATATGATTTGACAAGCCGAATAATTATGTATTCGCACTTGATGCCTTACATCTATTTGAAAAGAAAAAGCGATATAATTATGAGAATGTGATCAACAGTTTAGGATATTTTAAACGAAGATATTTGCGTATGTGGAACATTAAGGTTCAAAGGTACCATGCTTTGAAAAGAATAGCTCGAACTAAACATCGATATAGTCGGAATAGTCAGGAATACCTAAACGAAAGAAATGATAACCAGAAGTATTTAACATAGAAAACGACAATATCAAATACGTACGTGTGTGAAGTTATCACTGTTCTGCTTGAATGAAAAAAAAACCTATCGATCGTACTGAGCTATGCCACAAAATGTAACACTCTATTTTTAAAAAATAAAGGAGATATTTATAAAGTTTTGTTTGCATGTGCATTCCATTTTTTTCAACACAAGAAAGTTGTGCTAGGTTATGCTCAGTCGGCTCACTCCACGCATTGTTGTACTGCCAACTGTAATTTGAGATCAGCGTTCGTTTCTAAAAAACAAAAAGAAATGCAAACATGTGGAACACCGCCATTTTACCTCCTAAATATCCAACTTTTACTATATATCATGTTAAATTCGTACATTATTGTGCTGCAAACTTCAATTCAATACCTGTTTTCATTTTCGAGAAAAGACTGGTTTCGAAAAAGTTCTCCGTGACCTATGTCGAATCAGCTCCTAATTTGGATTAATAATTTTTAAATGTTTACCAAGGTAACTGCATCATCTGTAGATTTATTTTATTGTCGCCATTCACTTTAGTAATCCCTGTATGAACACAATAACCTTTAAACTTGAAGCTGATTGCTATTGGTAGCAGTCAGCTGTATTATAAAGCACGGTCTGAGAAACAAGCGTCTGCTGCGTGACTAAAAAAGAAAATAATTAGACGGAGGTAAGTATTTACGTTTGTTTTGACACGATAATATGTCATTTTTAACGAAGCTTGGTATACATACCTTTGAAGTTATCCAGAATCTACTTTTCATGATAACTTGACCAAACTTTGCGTGTGGATGAAATTTGAAGTATGGTAAAAACTATCGTTTCGTGCTGTCTGACCTAAGCGGTGGTCTTGTACTGGCGAACTCATCCCTGAGTGTTAACTACGCTTTGACTTTATCTGTTTTATTGTAATTTAGACATCGTAGTAGCATATTTTATTAAATTAATAATATGTTGAACTGATGTTTAACTTTGGACTTTTTAATTCCAATTATTCAGTTGCCTTTCTTTTAACAATTGTATTGCTATGTATCGTAAATATACTTTCAGGTGTGTAAATTTTGTATTTTCACGCTAGCAGTACTAATTTCACACACATCCAAGTACTTGGATATCCGAATTGGATAATTTGGAATACCTGAACACCCAAAAGTAATATTATTCATAAGCAATAAACAATAAGAATAAACATTTCATGGTTGAAAAATTTAGACAGCTATAAAAATCCATCGGACGCAACTCGGTTCAAAAGTTTTTCTTAATCTTTTGCTTGCATAGAACATTTAAAGCGCAAATAAGTAAATCTAGGGTAAAAATGAATATTTTGTAAGAATCATATACATATACAAGGTTATTCACGACATCAGCTGAAATTGGACGCGATTGAACAATCCGTTAGTCTAGGTAGTGTGACCTTGTTAAACAGATGAAAGATTCTGAAGCTCATGATGTTAATAACGTTATGACGTTACATCTTATTTCTTTAATGATGTCACACTGTTCTGATTGATGAAATCACCCATTTGTGGCCAATTTTATAAGCTAATAAGCCTGTACACGTTTAACAGATTTTGACAGCTGTCAATTTAAAGAATAGAATTATTGCTGAGCGCTGCGAGTTAATCAAGGAGCTTCGAATTTATATAGAATTAAAGTATTGATATTATTAGCTTTTGATGGTTCTTCGCGGCACCCCCCGTTGTCGGTTTGAGTGGAAATTATTTTTTCATCGTTCTGTATTTGCGAAAATTATGAATATTGATATGAAGTGTACAGAGTGTTCCATATGAAATGCACTGAAGTTGTACCGTTGCATTCCTTATCAAATTCTAAGGAATGCCAGTTTTTCTATTTTTTATTTCATGCCCTCGAAGGGTGTGTCCTTTCTAACTTGACGTCCTCGAGCCCTGTGATTTCTTGAAGTGCTATCATCGACTCCCTAAGTTCTGTGAATTTAGGATGAATGCTAGCAATTTTGCGATAGATTCGAGGAATTTATGATCGTTTTTAGGAATTGCGCATGATTGAAAAGTTTTTAGAATCTTTTCGAACCTTCGATGGGTCGTGTCCGCGTTAAATTGTGCAGCATCTTTCCTAGAGTCGGCAGCCTTCTCAAATGACGCTTTGTTACACCTTTTTTTTCCCTTAAACCCGGGAGCAGCTTCTACAATCTTCATCCGAATCCCCTCTTGACCTTGTTTATTGAGATACATAAATTGTCAGGACTTTTGTCGGTTTTCCAATATCAGATTATTCGGATGAAAAACTGACTGTAAGGATGCTTTCATGATAAAATGGTCGAAAAATGGATCATTTTTAGAATTTTCCTTCAAGGAATCGGTGAAATAAAATAGTGCAGTTTTATTTATACATTAATCAAGCACGAACAAATTTTTCTAATTTCCTGTCGGTTCATCTTGTAGACGACATTGACTGCACCGATGTGTTTTAAAAATACTCCTTACTGAGCGCCATCCAAATTCGTCACCAGGTAGTCTGAAAAAATGTAATTGTTTCTCGATCATTAGACTGATAATTCTGGCCTTATCTACAAAGATTCCAAATAGAACAAAATGGCGATGATTGACACGCTTTTAAACAAAAAATGTATATAAAGGTTTTTCTTTCATGAAAAATAGGAGATACAAAAAATGTTTTGTTTCAGAAGTTATGATTGTCGATAAGGCCAGAATTAATTCACTTTTACGTAAAATGAAACCTTAGTCATCTCAATTGGTAAATAAACTTTTTTCGTTATTGTGGCGCTCAGTTGAAAAAAATGTTTTGAGAAAAACGCATTTAAAGTTTTACCTAGAGTTTATCGGTTTATTTTACGCGAATTAAATGATGTTTGGATGAATTACCTTCAATCAGCTATTTCTGCACCATATAGCAATCCCTCGGTTATTTCGAGATCAACTTCCAACTCACTGTTATCTTTTTTTCTATACATTCTGGACTCCTTAGTTCGTTCGCTGCTTAGGTAGTCAGCTGATGCGATACGTTCTTGATTTCGTTGACTACTAAAAGCATTTACATGGCAACCGGTATTTATTCCCATTACTTCTAATATCCTCAGTGAAGTCATGCATCCTTCACTGAAAAAGTATGCTGCAGTCCAAGTTGAAATTTTAATAATATTTTTGTCCTGGAATATCTCTTTGGGCGCAAGCTTCCATTCGCATTTATTGAAACTCTCGTTGTTATTTTTAGTGCTTCTACCCAAACAATGTTTCAATAGCTCCTCAATTGTTAAATCTTCCAGTATCGGTTTAATGATATCTTGAACTTCTTGATCCAGAGGTGGTTTGTGGGAGTAGGCTGCATTGCCAACCTGGCATTCCAAATACTTGCGTGTTGTTTGCGTCCGTTAATATTTTGTGATAAAATCCAGCCAAGTTATAGTTTCTTGACATTTTCCTCATTAATATTGTTCTGTTAATTTTGCCGTTTTATTTAGCACAGAAATTATTATTTTTATATTATTTTACATTATTTTTATTTCTGTATTATTGTATTATGATTATTATATTATATTATATGATATTATTATTATATTTGCATGCTGCTCCTATCAACGTTCCGATCCTCAGTCACTTTTATGGCTGTAGAATTTTAACCATAACAAATTTTATCGAAATGTTTGAACACAGTATTCTTGAGACGTTGTACTATCTGAATAAGCAAACAAAAAATCGGCTGTTTGACAAATTTTAATGAGAAAGAATCTTTAAGAATCTCAAACGATTTCTAGAGTTCAATCTTCTATAGTTTCCGAAAGATTCCAGGAAATGGGTTAGATCGATAACAATAACTAAAACTCTAACCGGCAGTATTGCTGGAATGATAATGGTTTTTTAAAAACCCATCATTTGTCAATCTTTTACCCGGTGCCAGTCACTTGCTTTTTTCAAACAACGTTAGTCACCTGGGCTAACATATGACAGATAAATTTCTATTTTTTTTTTTATTGTAGTTTTAGTGAAGTCCATATTAACCGTTTATTGCGGCATTCAATTTAATAATGACATATACGCTTGATAGACACGAGATTATAATCTGTATCTATATTTCAGTGACATACAAAAAAATTGGGTGCTGGGATGCTCTTTGGGTTCTTGGTGCTATAGTGGAACTTCGAAAACTCGAATCTCAAGAAAAAAATCTCAAGAACTCCACTGTGAATTTTTCAGTAATCAAGTAATCACGCTCGACTTATGCGAAACATCACGAAATAACGTGAATTGAAAGGTAAAGTAGATTTGGTATTCAAGAATATTGACGAAGTAAAACGTTTGATTCAAGTGAAAGGATATACCGATCAACTCATAAGAGGTTTGAAGAGACTTCATTGAAAGTGAGAATAATTGAATTTCTTAAAACTTCAAAAGTTTCTTATAACAATCAAGTTGGCGGAGCTAGAAATTCGAAAGGAATACAAAAAATTCAAAGAATATATAGAATGAGATTAATTGTTGAATTGGAGAACAGCTTCTTTCTATCATCCACTTTTACGTCTTCTTTTATTTAATTTTTGATTCCATCATTAATCTCATCTTTAATAAAATCATGTTCCGTTTGAAATACATTCACTAAATTCTGTAGTAGAATCAAAACCTCGAAAAATTGTTAAAGATTCTTAAAATCAATTTTTCTTTCGAATAATTTGATATTGCAACACCGGCAAAAGTCCTGGCAATTCCTAGAATCAACTTGCTTTTTAAGCAGGTTTTAGCTTTTTAATTTTAATTGTGCTATGATTTACAAATTTTATGTTATTACTAGAAAGTCAGTTATCCTTTAGAGTAATTACGGTAATAACGAAGATTTCAACAATTGCGTTACGCAATTCTATGCAACGCAGCACCATACGCGGAAGATTTAACAGATAAGATTCAAATGTAGTGTATTTCATGTTGTCGTTTCAATTTAATCTGCTGAGTGACGTATAACTACGTATTAAGCACATGCTCATAATGGGGGTATTGTCGGTAGGTGCGCCATTGTTTCCGTGTTATCGTGAGTCATGCAGTTGGATTGCAGTTTTTTGAGTGAGAAGCTACTGTTAAGCATAATATGGAAGAAGAGTCGGGGATAGAGTCAGGAATTTATATAACACGTGCGATTAGCTTTATCAATTAATACCAACGTCTACTTTGCGGCTGTGTGTACTATTATCAAAACGTTATATGATCTTAGTGACGTGACATGCATAAGTTTATGACTAAGCTTACCGTTGTACTAAATGGAAACTTCTCTATAACATTAGTTCCCTTAACAAACTCAGCCCAAAACAGGTACTGCATCGGTTTTGATGATTTATTTTTGTTTGAAAGAAGAAAAAGGTAAAGGAATCGAAACAGGACTTATTAAATAGGACTCGGGCAGTTAGTGAATTAGCGATAGATTAGAGGGG